CATCAAATGTGGTGTGGATGTTTGGGTTTGCCAGTCAAAGATGGGATGATTGTGCCGCCATGCCAGGCAGCACTAAAGTCGAAGATATGTGCGTAGACCATGACTGACCAGCTGCGTTGCTGTGGAGGGGGCGGAGCAAGGCTGAAGATGTGCGTGTGGCTTATCGGCATGCAGGACGCGGCGAGAGGCTGCAACGTAGCCTCCCGGGTGCGACGAGCTGAAAAGACCACATATCCGCAGCACACCAAGCAGCGCCTCTTTCGCACGTCTCACGGATGTCGATTCAGATATTTCGAGTGTAGTCTAGAAGTTGGTTGAAGTAGATCCTTCTCCGCGAACCGATCATCTGCTCGGGTGGCATTGTTGCCAAGCCGCTAGGTCAGAACGCGCTTACGTCACGCATCATGGCGCTCAAGCACCTACTCAACGACGACGATGTCGTCAACTTTCACCACGAGAGACACAGTCCGCATCTCAACTGGTTCCAGCAAGATTCCTTGGATCAGTATGCGATAGACGCTAGGATCGGGCGCAAGGCTGATGATCGTAGTTTTACGGCGGCTCTACCAACTCAATCCTGGGATCAATACGTGGACGAACTGCTTGGGTCACAGGACGCACAATGCGACCCACTACTGGATGGAATCGATATTAACGGCTCGTTTCAAGAGACGAGTCGCGATATTGAAGACTGGACGACCGGGCAAGCGCAGCATGAGTCCACTGCGGAGCAGACTCTAGATGAGCAGGAATATATCTGTTATGGCATGGTAAGTAGGGAACCAACAATTGCGTAGACATTGTCACATTTTAGCGGCGAGCTGATACGTTTCAAGGTTTTTAGAGCCGCTGTTCGCCTCCGAGGCGACATGGGGGAGCTTCATCGTAAGCTCAACAACATCGCATCATCCCCGATCACAGGCCATGCGCGAATGATTATCATCAAACCCGAAGCCCAATTCGTTGTCGCTTTCCCCGAAGGAGGTGTCGTAGGGGATGTGAACGCCCAGTTAGACGGAGCGTTAACGAGCATCGCAGAACAAGGCTATGAGATCGATCTAGAGGTCTTCGCGCCAACGGTGGTCATCCAGGAGACCATAGGCCGCGCCACGAAGGACAAAGAAGCCGTAGTAAGGGTACAAATAAATGTTTACGGCCCATCGACAGCCGCTTGCGACATCGGCAAGGAGTTGTCGCAGCAAAAGATCTATCTGCAACGCCCTGTGTACATACGAGATGGTTATCGATACGAGAATCCCCATACCCTCACCCTCCCTGGCTTCCAAGGCTCGACACCTGAGATACCAACCATCACAGAAGAACCTTTACCTGACAAGGTCGGTCTGCAGACATTGAGAAGCACCCTCCACAATGTGTATTCCTCTTTGACGCGAGATCGCAACCTGCACGGGTTAGAGGGTGACGAGCGCCTCAACACCGATCTTTTGTTGTAAGTTCCTTTCAATTCGTCTCCGTCTACCCTTTGCTCTCACTTCCGAATATCGATGCTTCGCGATCACCCGTTGATAGACCCAGGCACCAGAAGACAGCACTTTCTTTCATGATGCAGCGCGAAGACGGGCCCATACCAGACGAGTACACACTCTGGAGGCCGAGCGAAGAAGATGGAGTCCAATGGTATGTATCCTGCAAACTGCCTTGCACAATACCGCTGACACCACTGACAGCTATCGTCATGTTCTGACGAAAGGACGTTGTGAGTTCTTTTTTTACACGTTCTGATTTGGAAGTATACTAAGAACTCGATAGCCATGGTTGAGCCTAAGGAAACCGGCGGTGGTATCCTGGCAGACGAGATGGGGATGGGAAAGACTCTCTCTGTACTAGCCCTTGTACTACGGACGCTAAACACTGCGCACGATTGGGCTATCCGCATCGATGATCTGAACGATGCGACTTCGGGAATACCAAAGAAGAGACGCCGCTCTGGAGCGACCCTGATCGTTGCATCATCAGACCGTGAGTATACCATTCTAGTGATACATGCTAGTGCTCTTGTACTGACGGCGCAGTCATGATCAATGAATGGTTTCAGGAACTAGATAAGTAAGTCACATAGGTCGTTGCATACTCTCCAGCTGCTCACCTTGAAAGGCATTTTGACGAGCCTACTCGTAAAGCCTTGAAAGCGATCAAGTACCATGGCCCTCATCGACACGTTTCCCTGGAGAGGCTCATGGAGGCAGACCTTGTCATCACTACCTATCATACGCTCGCGTCAGATTTTGCCCGGACCAAGCATGAGTTGAGGCATATTGAATGGTATCGTCTTGTCATTGATGAAGGTGAGTAAATTATCGAACGTCAGCCGCTCACCATTGACGACTATCACGCAGCCCACATTATACGACGGCAATCCACCATCTTGTACCGGACTGTAGCTGACATCGCGGCCCGATCGAGATGGTGTCTGACTGGCACGCCTATACAAAATCGCCTGGAGGACATCGGCTCTTTGTTCGCCTTCTTGAGAGTCAATCCGTTTCACAGCTTGTCGAACTTTCGAAAGACTATTGCTATACCTTTTGATGAGGGCGGTAAGAGACGTACTATTGCGATTGAGCGCTTCACTCGTCTTCTGGACTCCATGTGCTTACGCAGAACCAAAGATGTCCTGCAATTGCCGGCTGAGCAGCATCGAGTGAGAGAGGTACCGTTCTCATCAGAAGAGCGATTGCAATACGAGCAGACCAAAGAGATCATGTTCCGAGCTGTTCGCAACCAGAATGGCACTTTCGATCAAAAGAGTACGCTGGGCATGTTCCAGGTACAACTTCAACTGCGGATTCTCTGCAACCATGGTACTTGGCAGCAACCCTTCTCCTGGAATCGCCGCAAACTGCATTTACTGGATGAGAGGGAGGCCATGGAGATCTCCCTGGGGCGAGACGGCGAGATCACGTGCTCAGTATGCCGGCAACCCCTGCCCGCCTTCAATAGCGGCTCCATGTTCCATCGCTATACCGAGAATTGCCGGCATGTCTTGTGCTCTCAATGCCTAACCCAGAGCACGCCTAGTGGTCACGACGAAATACCCAGCAAATGCCCGCTATGCCAGCCCCTGTGGAATATGTCCACCGAGGCACATCATTTCATGGACGCGTCACATGAAGACACCTACTTTCGAGCGAACGGACGGTCTTCGAAGATGGAAGTCTTGATGAACGACGTCTCCGTCGATATATGGGATACGAAAAGGTATGCACGATGAGATCTCTCATATGAGTGGCAAGCTTAACAAGCTCGCAGCATTATATTCACTTGCTGGACGCGCACCTTGAACTTGCTAGAGAGCTATCTTCATTACATGTCTAATAACACGTGGACCCATGAGCGCATCGACGGCGAATGCTCAACGACCAAACGCGAACGTATCTTGCATCAATTCACGGAGGACCCCAATTTGCGAGTACTGATCATGACCACCGGCACCGGCGCGGTAGGGTAAGTCGGCCACATACTTATCATTGACTGCTATCGTTGATAACATATGCTAGGCTCAATCTCGCGACCGCGAACCGCGTTTTCATCGTGGAACCCCAATGGAATCCCTCAGTCGAAAACCAAGCTGTCGCACGAGCCCTGCGTCTTGGACAAAAGCAAGCAGTCTTGGTGACACGCTATGTTGTGGAGCAGACGGTGGAGCAGGTAAGCACAACGAGGGGTCGACTTCATCCTTGTTTACTGACTTCATCAGGACATGCGCGCATTGCAGGACACCAAACTGGAAAGGGCCAATCTCATTCAAAGTGGCTGAGTTATGTCTGTCCGGCGAGTTGTCGCAGCCACTCCCGCGCCACTCCAATCATACGGTGCGCTATCCTGTGTTATTGCGTGGATGTATTGTCAACGCGCTCCATATTCCCGTCTATGGAGCTTTCTAGAATGCTTTGAGTGCGTTTTTAGTTTACGTTTGCAAGTCGACGGGTAGTGACTTGATAAACCGGTGAGCGATGCGCTCACATCGGTGTGACGGCTTGACCGGTAATGCTGCGCCACCAGGTGCCGCCCAGGCGCGCACACCTGCGCGCTAAAAATTGCAGTGCACTCTCATCATGTCACCTATCATATGCAGCATGTAACCTATCAAATGCAGCATTGTTTTTCCCGTCTTCCCCCACCATCGACTGTGAGCTGTGCCGTTTCCCGACGCAGCTGACCACACCCCTCGTTACCTCTCATCATCCCTCCACCCGTGTCTCCATTGTTACTGGTCACGACGCACGCCCGCAGTAGAGCTTGTACGGAATTGGGCAAGCACTGCAGTGCCTTCTGCATGCGTCGGAGCTGAGGGTCTGACGGAGGCGCTGCACTGCAATTTCTAGCGCGGGAGATGGAGTGACTGGCATGCGTGTATATCCAATCCGGAGGGCTAGAGATTGCAGTGCAACCTATCATCCCTCTACAATGATTGATCGCTCTTCCCAACGACACACCCGTCCGCGCTAAAGATTGCAGTGCAAATGCAGTTGGTTCCACAGTCTTGCAGGGGCCTATCCGCTTCTATTTCCTGTCATACATGGGCTTAACGGTCTCTTTCACGCCAACGGGTGTGGTGCAAGACGCGATGCCACGCGGCAGGATTCTTTCCGTCTCTCCAAACAGGTTTATGAGTGGCTGCCATGCAAAGCCAACCCGTCCCGATAGATCATCAGACCTCTGATCCGATTGGTCAATCTGTCTAACCATAGGCTCGCCCGCGCTAGAAATTGCAGTGCAAAGAGGCCGCGGTGACTTGCAGGCTACTGACTTCCATGTTAGAAGCTGTAAGACGCCTGAGAGCCTAATCTTCACGACAGATCATCTGCCTTGCGCTACAAGACTTAAAGAATGATAGATAATTTCTGCGCATTTCATACCGAACAGCTAAACACAGACACAATCACATTTTCTAACAAGACGCCACCCTGACAATAAAAGACAGTCTATCAACACCTCACAGCACACGGCGCATCTCCAGCAACTGCGAGCACACGCCCCTAATTCCTCTCCACCTGCTTCAGCTGAACCCACAACGGAATCTTCTCCCACACCAAAAAAGCCTTCTGTCTATCCGGCCAGTCATGACTTTCGGGGCGAAGTTCGAAATCGAAGTTCCAGAACAGGCGAGCAGCAATAAGTCGTAGCTCAGCATAGGCCAAGTTTTTGCCGACGCAGTTTCGCGGACCGAACGAGAAGGGCTGGAACGTTGTCTTTTTGTCTGCGCTGAATTGCGGGTCATAGTACGGGTGCTCGGGGCTGAGAAAGCGCTCAGGCTTGAAGGCGTCGGGTTCAGCGAAGTTGCTGGGGTTGTGGTAGATGGCCCACTGGTGCATCACAATTTGAGTCTAAGAAGCTTGGTCAGTCGTGGTTGCGTCAAGTCTTGGTCATTCTTTTATGGAATTTAGTGTAGTGATACATCGGGACAGGGTAAGAGAGGGCTTCTACTCACACCTTTGGGAATATAGTGCCCGCTCACGTACTCTCCGGGCGACACACGCGGCGGTGTCTCTGCGACAGGCGGATAGCATCGCAGCGTCTCCTCAATGCAGGCGTGCAGGTATTTGAGTTGCGCCGTACTAGTCATCGTGATGTCGTCCTCAGTCTCGAAGGCTGTCCGAACCTCTTCTTGGATCCTCTCCAGAGCCTGCGGGTTCGTGGTGATGTAGTAGGTCAAGCCCGAAAGTGCGGTGGCTGTCGTCTCGCTACCAGCCGATATCAGAGCTTCAGCATTACCGTGAATCTCTGCATGAGTCATGCCTTTCTCGTCGTTGTGACGGAGGATGTAAGTCATGATGTCCTTTCGGCCATTGGGTGCTGGACCAAGTGCTAGTCTCCGGTTCGTCTTCTCCTTACTCATCGCCTTGTTATCGATACGCTTCTGCAAGTCTTCTTTGGATACCATCAATGCAAGAAGCCAGCGGATCCAAGGCATCTTCATCAATGCAACGTCCTGAGTGCCGGACTTGATGGCGCCGAATATCGCGTCGACCCAAGGATGGTAGTTGCTATTGCTCAGGCAGTTGAATGGTTCCCCAAAGACTAGGTCTCCGATGATGTCGAAAGTCGTGAAGTTGTACCATTTGAGCATGTCCGTTGGCTGGCCTTGTACGGCGTCACTCCGAAGATGGTCGAAGAGCATGTCAACATACTTCTTGACCAGTGTCTCCTGCTCCTTGACGGCAGCATCTGAGAATGCATGTGCGATGACACGGCGTTGGCGTCGATGATTCTCCTTGTCGGCAGGAAAAAGAGATTGGTTCGACTTGTCTCCGTGCTGGTAAAAGTCATCCCAGTGAGAGAACTCGGGTTTACCACTACGAGCAAGTCCGAAAACCTCAGGCCAAAAGTTTCCGTTCAAGGACAGTTGGTTCGGTCCGGTACGAACAATATCTCCGTGCTTCTCATGGAACTTCAGGACGTCTCTGTTGAAAAGACCTTTGAACTGATTGTTGACGGCCAGCGGCAGTCCAGAGACGGCATAAAGCTTCGGTCCGGGGATTCGGCGGAGAGGGTGGAAATAGAGGCGATACAATGCAAGGCCCAATGCACCGACAACGCTCTAGGGGTATTGTTAGGAGGTGGCTGCATTATCAAAATGTAGACACTTACAAGCTCGAGTAGCAGGAGGGCTGCAGCTGCAGTCTGCTGGAACGACATCTCAACGCGGAAGGAAGTTGAGGATTGCCTGGGGTATAGGGATGCTGGTTCTCGAATACACGGCGTGGGATGTAATGCCAGCTGGTGTAAAGGGATGGCGAGAGTATTTCACACCGGATGACACCATGATATAAGTTCTCAACCAGCATCTTCTCGGTCAAATAGTCTCTTTGCCTCGTATACCCATCCATGGCTACAATGTGGGTGATGCCTGCCAACGTTTTGCTTTAACAATTTGGGTGGATCTGATCAGTACACTGGGAAGTAATCCAGTGGCTACGACTGGGTGTATCGTTCGGGACTCGAGTGTTCCCGCGGCGTTAGTCTCGGTGAGCGTCGTCTGCCCTTGGGACGCTAGGATCGGATCGCACCTGCTCCGGCTCCCGTCCTCACCCATATTCCCACTTTCCATCGTAAATCGCGTACATGGACGGTATTCTCTTCCGATCTAGTGTAGAATGGTAAGTGCGAGGCGGTTGCGCAATCTGTTGGTGCGGCTGAGTTGCAGGTGAGTGCGGGTGGCTTCCGAGCGGATGATGGAGCTGACCATCCGAGCGTGCCAAGCTTCTGCAACGGTCTTACCCCACGTCTGGCGTATATACCGTATCTTAGCCGATCCCAACGCTCGCTCCATGTTTCATACAACAATGGTCACGCAGGACGAATGTTATGAGCCTTCTATGCAGCACGCTGTCCTCCGCACCAAATATCGCGGCGCGCGAAATCTCCTCTACCTTGCAGTCCAGCAATCTTGGAAGAACCCGGTCGGTCATGACCTCAACGAACACAGATCCCTTCCGTATTGGGAGAGGAGTGCGAAAGCCTCGTCAGTACGCGCAAGGTCGATTCCTCGTCTCTATGTCTCCGCATATTGTTCGAGACACTCAGGCCATCGCGCACTCGCGTCTCGGAAAAAAACTCTTCGCTCTTCCGCGCTGGGGGTATAAACGCAACGTTGCCCACCTAGGCAGCCGGTGGCGGACAAACAGATCCAGGTGGGCGTACACGTGCTCTGGTGCGTTAGGGATCGCAGTGCAGGCTTGCTGTGGACGCTCAAGGTTGCGGTGCCGTTGCAGCAGCTTTGAAATGAGAGCAGTCAGACTCAGCCTGCCCAGGTGGTCCTGCTTGCCTGCTCACGTGACTTACACGTGCTCTTCGACGCTAGGAAATGCAGTGCACTCCCACCGCCTCCCACCGCCTCCCATCGCTCTTGTGCACTTGATCCTGAGCAATACAGCGCAGCTCTTAAACGAGTACCGAATGGCTGCCGAACGAGTACCATCCATCACGCACACTCCGTCCTTCGACTCAGATGCCCTTTACTACACCGAACGTACGATTCAGTGCATATCAGGGCAATCTTCCGGAGGCCTCTCTTTCGCATACACGAACGCTTTCGCTGAGGACTGTATTACACACCAGTCAAACTGCGATGATGGTGATGATGATGATGATGATGATGATGCAGGTCTCGTTGACGTGGGAAAGTGTCGTTTCCTCCTACAGGATGCGTATTCGTTCGCACTGGAAGATGCAGTGCAAAAGCCATCGTTATACGTCCAACATGCTGGAACGTACTGTATAATTGAACGACTGAAAGGCGTTCAGTAACAAATGCCCGTTTCTCTAAGCCTGGTTGTCGTGTCTGTAGAGACGCGCTACGTTGAACAGCCGCATCGTCATCGACATGCTTCGCAGATGGACTCGTCCGCGCTAGGAATTGCAGTGCAAGCATATTACGATTGGCTCTGCGAAGGAGGTATTGACTCCTACACCGGTGTACTTGCGGAGTTGACATTGGTAGGGATACGCGTCCTACGACCCGAAACGGTGGTGGCTGAGCGTCCCGCCACAGGACGTTCACCGGTGGTGTGACCTGGCAGCCAATCAAGCGCATCGCTTTCCTTCACGTACACTCGTCCGCGCTAGAGAATGCAGTGCAGCTACCCAACATTGAAGCTATGGAGCCCAAGATGACAGCAGGCTGGAGCACTAGCGATCAATAGAGCGCGCCTCAATCTGGAAGCGAGAGTCCTCCATCGTGCTGCGCCCCAGGCTGTTCTCATCCTAGGGACCCATGGAAAGACAGGTGTGATTGGTGTTGTTTGGCTAGTGGCTGGCGATGCACGTTGGTCGAGAAATGTAGCATACCCTGCACTTGCATCTCATCAAGTACTCGTTCGCACTAGAAATTGCATCGCAGGTGCCTTGTCGACACCTTGCAGATCCTTTTGCACGTCAGAACGATTCCGGATCTGGTTAGCGACTACTTTCGGATGCCTCTTCTTCTGCGCTAAAAATTGCAGTACAGTAACCAACTCCTACCTCATCTGGGTAGCGGCATCGGGTAGCGGGGCGCATGCGTGAGGCCACGACTAGGCGCCTTTTGGCTGTGGCATTGAAACGGCTGTTGATGCCGCACGCGATCAAATGCGCGGCTGAAGTGTAGTTAGAGCCCTGGAGTTCACGCAACCCACGCGCCAGAGACAACACTAACGCAACTTCCACAGGACGTTCACCAACGATACGGCCCAGCAACTCATGAAGTGCAACTCTCTTCTTGAGCCTACACAGAGTCTTGCAGTCTCACAGACCGAAGTCACTGCTCCACGATCGCCGATGGCTAATCACAAGAGGCGTGACCTGACCCCTCGTCCAGGCTAGAGATTGCAGTGCACACCAGTCAGAACTAGCCTCGCATCAAATACTGTGCTAGCGTGCCCTCAAGTGCTCCTGCGCGCTAAAGATTGCAGTGCAAACGAGAGGGCGTTAATCGGGCTTGGGGCTGATCCCCACCTGGGCACATACGGACTCGTATGCGTTGGGTATCTATGGATGTATTTGGCCTATTGTTAGCTTGTTAGAACAGCACATGCAACAACCTCATCAACGCTACCTAGGTAGAGATTGCAGTGCACACCAGTCAGAGCGCCGCCTTTGCTACCTCGAGAAGACTGCTGTTGCAGCCGCATGCACTCAGAATGCGAATATGAATCTTCGTCGGATTCTACGACACCCGCGCAGGAGGTTGCAGTAACTCAACTTCAACAGGACGCTCACGAACCATACGGCCCCGCAACTCCTGAAGCGCAACCCTCTTTTTGCGGCTATCCAGAATCCCGCAGCTTCAAAAGCTTAAGTTACCGGTCCAGGACACCTGATCACGAGAGGGGTGACTTTGATGGCCTCGTTCATGCCCAATACTGGATTGCAGGTTGTGGCCTTCGATGCCTGGACGGCAGGTACAGCCTGGTACGACGTCTTCTACGCTAAAGATTGCAGTGCAATCCATGCATTCTTCTTACCGATCAACGGGAATCACTTATGTACCTGGCTTCAAACAACCGATTGGCCATCATTTCCCTCGCACCATACACTCGTTCGCGCTAGAAATCGCATTGCAGGCGCAAGTCGGACGGCAAGTCATCGAGGGATCCCCCCAATGAATGATCAGCCACCGCCTTGCTGCTTACACCGGCTCGTCGACGATAGAGATTGCAGTGCAGCGCGCCACGTCGCGGCGGGGCGCACCGAATGCCTTTGCTTTCGCGGCAGAGCCATGGGTTTTGCTTCGGTCGAAACGCCACACATGATGACAGCCACTTACAGGTCGGTGGATTCTATTCATTTATTTGGGTCAGTTTGTTCATATATAGGGAACGAGACTTTGAACACGGTTTGTTGTGAGGGTGAAGTTTTGGTTCTTGATGCATGCGCAAGTACTATGCAGGCCGTTGAAGCAACGAACTAGCTACCACTCAGTCCCACGACTTCTCCCATATGGATAACGCCAGCTCAAACTCCCGATGCTGAAACCCGAAGGTGCTCACCAGTCCATACATCCAAAGCACCCAGATCGCCGAACGCCAAAATGCAAATCATGAAACTTTTCCTCTCACCCTCCAGTGGACAAAGTTCGCAGCGTCGCAGAGCATACGCCACCAACCAAGGCACTCAGAAAACTTCCTAAACCTCCTCCTCAACAAGCTCCTCAACGACAACACCCTCCTCCTCATCAACCGGCTCCTCCTTGACCCGCTTAGCCATCGGAACATACATATCCTCAACCTCGACTTCCTCATCCTCCTTGTCTGAGGTCTCGTCATAAGTAGGCTTACGCTTGCCGTTCAGCGTGCGCTTGCCATGGGCCGCAGTCGGAGACAGGACCTCATCGTCATCCATGAGGCCTTGGGGACCGTCGCTGTCGGCGTCCTCGGAAACGGCTTTCTTCTTGCGGGGAACGGGCTTGGCCTTCGAACGAGGAGTCTTGGGTGTGGAAGCGGTGCGAGTTGGTGAGGCGACGGCGTGGGCTGTGCCGCCTTTGCGGATGTTGGTGAGGCGGTGGGAGACGGCCTTGGGGGTGCAGTCTGAGGGTTGAGTGTTAGCTTAGATGGCTATGGATGGGAGTGTAAAGAGCTGTAAGTGAAGATTTGGGGGTCCGTAGGTTGTGGATATGGGCAGTGCGACGGCACTCAAAAGCTGGAATGTACTTACCGCCACCGATCTCTTCGGACAGGTACTTGAGGAGCGGCGCGCTACTCTTGATATCATGGAACTTAAAGATGCCCTTGAGGATCTAGCACTCTGGTCAGCAGCTGAGACGAAGTGAACAAAAAGCCAGTGGGACGCGAGATGAACTTACGATCTGATCCTTATCCGCAGTCCAGTTAACCATCTTGACGGTAGTGCTGGAGGTTGTTCTGCGGTACCAGTCAGTATATATGCGACAGCATGAGCTGAACGAACTTACTTTGTGATGTTTTGTTTGTAAGATGTGAGCGAAGCTAAGTGCTATGCAAGAGCAAAGGTAAGAAGAAAGCTTGATGAAAACGCGGTGTGGGCGATTGATGGTGTCCGATGGGGATAGGAAAGAAGAGAAGGAAGGAAGGTGGGAGGGCGGGGTTTTATATCTTGCTGGCGGGGCTGGGGAGGCAGAGCGCGCGACGAGGTGAAGGTGAGAGACTGGCACTTTTCTGGCAGTGGGGATGGCGCTAACAGCTCGCTTGATGATAAGCCATGAGGGTGGAGGCGAGGTGAAGGTGGAATAGAGGGACATCGGCCGCTGGACAGTACTGAGAGGAGCGAGGAAAGCAATGGTCTGGCGAAAATGGATGAGTGAGCTGCGGTTGATGGGGATAGTTGACATTAGTAGCAGTTGGGTAGTCATCTTCACTGCCACAAAGGTGCCAATATCTCCCTGTATGTTTGTCTATTCCCCTTTAACTACGCCCTTATTGCAAGCACAAAGACACAGACACGAGCCCAACACTTCGCGCTATATTCTTTCGATGCGGAAGAAGTTGTAAAAGCAAGATATCAAGGTACCGAATACTCTCAAAAGCAACATACTGTTACAAGGCATTTCACAATCCCAAACCCAGCAGCCATTCATGAAGTTCCTGCCGACTCAGCTCCTAAGCCGTCGGATCAACAAACTGTCTCTGCCCATCCTCACCATCCTCACCACCCTCCCCAGCAGTTTCACCATCCTCCTCCTTCGATCCTCCAACACCCAGCCCCGCACTCTCCTGCTCCACAGTCCCTCTCTTCTTGTGATGCCACACCTTCCACGAATCCGACACCATCTTCTGATTCTTCTTGTTGTTGACATAAATCTTCAACTCCTTAGGTATCGGGTACATCTTATCCATAAAGTCCTGCTTGTCGAGCTGCTTCTCTGTCATCGTGACTCTCTTCTCCGCGGTCTCGGCTTCCCTGACAAAGTACTTGACCCAGCGGAGTTCGTACTGGAAGACGGTTTCGCGGCGCCAAGGAGTGCGGTTCTTGGTTCCGGCTTGACTGCCGGCTGGGAGCTCTTCTTCTTCGGCTTTGAGGTCGTCCAGAACTAAGCGGCAGAGACTGGGGAGCGGGATGTCCGCGGATTCTTGATGGGCGCGCTCGAGCCAGAGTTTGCGCAGCCGATGGACGGTGTTCTCGTATGCAAGTTGTGGCAGTAGACTGCATGGTGGTAGATCGTTGCTGAAGAGAATGGGCACTGCGCGGTCAGCTAACCACCTTGAATGGCGTGCGTCGGGGCTTGCTGTCACGGGACTGATGTTCGTGAAGTTGAAAGACCTACTGTTGGGTAATAGCGCAAGCTCTTCCTCAGAGAGCGGTTTGTTGCTCTCACCGTCAGGCTTGCCATGGCCGTCCAAACCAAGTCCAGCAATGTCGTCGGACACATCGGTCCATTCATCTTCGTCTTCGACATGTGTTAGCGCTGGACATCAGGCGTAAGCCTTCCGGAACTCTTGGCATACCCTGCATCTCTGTTGTTTGGCCTGTCGGTGGAGCTGACATGTGGCTAGGTCCAAAGGGCAGCCGGGGCATGTGTAGCGAGCGATGATAAGGGCAGCTGAAGATGACCCCGCCGAATCGAGTGCGCGCACAATAAGGAATTAGAAATTAGAAGATGGGTGTTGCGCGTTGATGTTGCAGCGGGAGTGCAGGCTTCGGCGATCAAGCAAATAGAACGCCAGCGTCCGCGCCTGCTGCCCAAACGCAGGTAGTGCAGGGCAAGAGCTCATGACGTCAGCGCGTGACTAGACCCTGGAAATTATACAAAATCACGGGATGTCGAGACTGGGCCAGGACGTTTTGACAGAAGAGACACATGAACATGATGAGAAGGTAGTACTACACCATTGTCGCAAACCAGAGAATGTCTTGTTAGTTCATTGATTGCGACATCTGTCACACAACCTCAACCACGCAGTAACCAAGCCCATGCTCATCTACAAAGCCTTGCCCATGAACTTCCTCTTGGTGTAGCTGAGCCACCACTTGCTGGGTGTGTTTGTCTCATCCGCGTATACCCTGTTCAGTAACCGTGTCGCCAGCTCTTGTCGCATCTGCATGATGTACTGTCGCAGTACTTCAGCTCCATTCCTGTCGGCTGGCGCCTCGAAGGCCTGGTTGAGCGGGAAGCCTGCGTCTCCTGGAATCGCAAAGTTGGTATCCAGTGCAATGTTCATGACAGCCTGCCACATAGTCAGCTTCCAACATCCACCTCCTTCATCTGTCTTCCTGACAGCATACCTTCTCGGCTTCTCTCCGACTCATGCCCGGCTTGATCTTTCCCAGTACCTCGCTAACGTATAGGATGCCGTAGATAAGGACACGGTCGGCGGGGCCCTTGATCTCGAAGTTGCGGAAGAATGTGTTGGCGCGGAAGAGGGCAAGGATCTCGTCTAGAGGATCGTACGACTCGTGTGAGGCATCGATGGTGAGCTCTGTGACATCGGCAGGTAGAGCTGGCAGCTGGATGGCAGGGCCGCGGGTGCGTGTGCGGAGTGGAAGGAGAGCAAAGTTGCCTGATGCGCCGGTCAGTCATTTTCGCTCATGGTGAAGCTGGAGAGTATAGCTGTACCAATCAATTGCTGATTGGGCTCATCGAGGAAGACGGAGTGGTAGGCCTAGGTGTGTCAGCTGCTGCTCTAGATGTTTGAACATGCCCTGAGGCATCAATCTGAAGAAACGATGCTAGAACTCACCGGCATCTTGGGTGTTGTCGCCTAGCTTGTTGGTGTCTGGCGGTGTTCTGGGAGCTCGGCGGAGGTGACGGCGCAGCTCCGCTCGGTGAGGTGTGCTGGTAGGGCTGAGCAGCGGGGGGTGACTAAGCCGCCCCATCAACGCGTCCCTGCGCGCGGCGCGTCTCCCTCGGATTTCTTACGAACAGCCTCTAAACCGCCAATCAACGTTCTAGCTACCTCAATTCGACCTCAATACATACAGAGACTCTCTGAATCGTCATTACAGCTATCGCAATGTCGGACTACGAAGATGAGATGGACGTGGATGCGCCCGCGGTAGACAACTCGATTACTTTTGGTGGAGACCAGAAGAAGGGCAAGAGGAGCGCTGCCAATCTACCCGTTGAAGCTGAGGATTCCCTGCCATGGTAATTCTCGATCCGTGTCGTCTTCTGCACACCTGCTAAAGATCAGATAGGGTAGAGAAGTACCGACCAAATTCCCTCGATGACGTCGAAGGCCACAAGGACATAATAGCCACCATCAACAAGTTTGTAGACTCAAATGTATGACGAAGATCCTACCCAGAAACATAATCGCTGACATTCATAGCGACTACCTCATCTCCTCCTCTACGGCCCTCCAGGTACCGGAAAGACATCGACCGTCCTCGCACTCGCACGCCGCATATACGGAAATAAGAACATGCGACAGATGGTCTTGGAATTGAACGCCTCAGACGACAGAGGAATCGATGTTGTGCGGGAGCAGATCAAGACATTCAGTAGCACAAAGCAGATCTTTTCTGCGGCGCCCAAGGCTGGAGACTCATCGCTGGCAACGTTCAAGCTCATTATCCTCGACGAAGCCGATGCCATGACTGCGACCGCGCAGATGGCCCTGCGACGAATCATGGAGAAGTACACCGCGAACACTCGCTTCTGTATTATCGCCAATTACACACACAAGCTCTCGCCAGCGTTATTATCACGATGCACGAGGTTCCGATTCTCTCCGCTGAAGGATCAGGACATCAGGAATTTGGTCGACAAGGTCATTGAGGAGGAGAAGGTCAACATCACGCAAGACGCAACCGACTCGCTTGTCACGCTCAGCAAAGGAGACATGAGGCGAGCACTTAACGTTCTACAGGCCTGCCACGCATCGAGCACGCCGCTTCAGACACCTGGCAAGCCCGCACCCGACCCATCCACGATCGTGCGCGACGAGATCACGCAGACTACCATCTACGACTGCATAGCAGCACCACACCCGTCAGACATCAAGTACATCATCGAGACGTTACTATCGAAGAACGACATGACAGAGTGCTTGCGCACGGTCAATAACCTGAAGATCATGAAGGGACTCGCGCTGGCAGATATCCTGACAGCGATCAGCGAGGAGCTCGTCAGCAACGACGTGCCGCCGCAGGTCATGGTGACTTGGATGGCAGGTCTGGCAGACATCGAGTACAGGTTGAGCGGAGGTGGTAACGAAGCCATACAAACAGGCGCAGCGATCGGCGTTGTGAGGACAGGCGTGGAGTTGTTGGAGACTGGAAAGAAGTAGCACGTTCGCGCTACTAGTTGTGGAACGAGGACAAGAGCGAATTGCTAGAAATGATACCATTGGAATGCGCAAAAGTAACGCGACAAGACTACATCCGCACCACCCAAAGATCGCAGCCGTGATGATACACTACAAGAAAGTGGGGCAGGGTGTCTCAGGATACTCAAGATCACCGTGGTGATAGGACGAGAGTCGTGTTTTGCGCTAACCACGCTAGTCAACACCCACGCGACTCGGACGCGCCTTCCGACAGATGTACCCCGGGATATATACACAACGCATCAACAATCAACACAGTTATCTTAGTCGCGTCCCTCCAAGTTGAAGATATTCCCGTCCCCGCTTCCTATACGAAACACGTGCGACCACCTTGGTATATTGAATAACCGAACACGCGCGACGCGCATGCATACTCCGATCATGCCTGTAAAGGTAGGTCAACTTGCGCGTTGAATGATTATCGGACTAACATCAATCAGAGAAGAGAAGGCCCAACAAAGCAGCGACAAGTCAGTCTGCGCAGAAGCAGAAGCATCGATGCACTTGCTCTGCCGGTGATCACAGAAACAATCAAGTTACAAGAGCGTCGAGCAATCGAGGGAAAGAGCAAGCGACCGCCTAGGTGGCGAGGGCCTGTAAGTGCTATATATACATGGCGCAAAGTCACCCGGGCTCATATCGCCGCAGCTGCAAAACAACAACCCCTTATCTCACCGGCCAGCGCCAACCATGCCTTCGCAAAGAGAGTCGATACCAGCATGTGATCTCAAGAGCAGTCAAGAGAGCCAGCCACCACCATCATCAAATATCCAACTCCGCTTCTCATTCTCTGAATCCTTCATCGATGATGTCGAGCGACAAGTCCACTCCGAGAACAACTTCAACCAGAGTTTCTCGGGGTTGACCATGACCCCCGGTGCGAGCTTCTCCTCCTCGAGTTCACAATCTACCACCAAAGCATCGCCGGTCCAACCAATCCAACCACAAACGTCCATCTACCACCAACCCCCGGTCTTGATCAAACCGGGTAAGAAAAGAGAAGGCTATGGATTCAGCTACTCAGAGACGTTCATGTACGATTCAGACGACTACCCCGACACGGAGTGCGGGGATGCTGACGACCAAGCGTCTGAACTACACACCACGAGGTCACTGGATAGCAATCCGTATCTAGATTGGGACGGCAGCATAGGATCACAACAATCACAACAAGTGCAACAATCTCACCTATCACAACAATCACAGTCCTCAACCAGGCCATCATCACGAGATTCCACAACAACAATACCAACTCCAACAACCTCTTTCGACGACCTCGTCGTTCTCCGCGCCCCAGGCTCGTTCCACCTCGCCCGCCCACAACGACACCTCCCCTGCACAACCGCGACGCGCGAAGACGCGCTCGCCCTCCGCGCCTCCGCCACTTTACTCCTCTCAAAATACACAGAGTCGGCTTCAATACAGCTTGCACTGCTAACACGGATGGAGCGGATGATGTATCTCGAGCAGCAGAAGCCTGGTGCGACCGAAGATAGTGTGGCGGAGAGTCTAGAAGCTTGTGTGAGGAGGCTGAGGGATTGGTTGGTGAAGAGTAAGGACGAGAGGATTGAGACGGGGGAGTGGAGGGGGGTTGTCGAACATGAGATCGAGTGGGTGGAGTGGATGGTACAGGCGGCGGAGAGGGGGGTGCTGCATGTAAGGCGGAGGGGGTGTCGGTGTCGGCCGGAGTGGGAGGGGCTGTGAGGATGAGGCTTTGGAGTAAGCGTGGGTGTGGGATAGGCGGCGACTGTGGAAGCAACGTGTTGCACTGCACTGCAATGTCTAGCGTGGAAGAGAAGGTATGTGAGGGAAGTAGCCACTCATGCATACACAACACACCTCCAGTGCACTGCAACCTTTAGCGCGAACGACTATGTACGTGGGGAAGGAAGTCAACCTTGCGGCTCTCTTGAGGATGCAAAGGCTGTGAAAAGGTTAATATAGAGCACCGCAATTGGTCATTGCAACCTGTCATGTGCACGTTCACACCGGGTCGTCTTAGTACCGCTCAGCCGATACAGTGCACTGCAATCTCTAGCGGCGACGAGCACGTACGCGAAGGATGTAGCCAATAATCCACGTCTTTTGCACAGCCCTGTTACGCATCACTGCAAGCCACACGGGCTCAGACCGCATCGGCTTCAGACATCATTGGTAGAGACGGACGCGCAGAAATGGTGGCACCAGGTGGCAAGAATTCGTGAGACTCTTGCCATCTCCTGTTAAGGTAAGGCTTACTGACATATAGGCTCTGACTGGGCTAATAGTAGCTGACGTTTTGCCAAGAGTAACGAATTATTGCCGTATCTGGTGGTGGCTGGACTCGTCCATGGATGTGCTTGCACTGCAATCTCTAGCGTGGAAGAGGCGTCTCACTCACGTGCTAAGACCGAAATGGCTTTGGCAACATTACGAAGGTAATCCACTATTTTGTATTATCCGGCTGTTCGCAAGATTGATGTTCGTATCCGCAACGTAATGACTATACCAAAGCACAACCCAATAACCAGCCCGAACCAGAACCAGACCGCAGTCTGACTCAAAGGGGCACTCCATCCTTGTTCCAAAACACTGCACTGCAATCTCTAGCGCGAAGGAACAGGTATGATGCCGAGAAGTAGCCAGTAATGCGTTGATTTTCCACAGCCTCGTCGTGCAATGTAACGAGCCACGCGGGTTAGGTCCGGGAGTAGCCAGCGACACGGTACCTGGAAAAAGGTACTAGTACCAATTCAACGACTTTTAAGCAAATACAGACATGCACTGCAATCTCTAGCCTGGACGAGGCCTTTCCACGTGCGTACTAACATTGAGAGCGCTTTCAGGTTTCACAATGGAGATACAATTGTTCGTGCTATCCGAGTTCCCGCGGAGGTTCGTTCAGATGCGTGATGTGGCAGGTGTGATGTCTTTTGGTGTAGGACATGCCTGGAAACGGTTCAAGAAGCCGTTCGACCCTACCAGAGCACGGCCTGTACTTACGAGCCACGTGGGTTCATACGACATCGGATTCGGGAACCACTGGTATGGAGGGACGCGCAGAGATTGTGGCTGGACAACCATGCACTGCCCACCAGTGAAGCTGACACAGGGGTCGACTTTGCCAAGTCGCCGGGGTTTTCATTGGTCGTTGTGGATGCATCATGCGGCTCTGGGTTTCTACGAGTTTGCCTACTTTTGTGTAATACAAGTAGGCGGACAACTGCACTGCAATCTTTAGCGCGAAGGAGCAGGTTTCTTTGCCAAGGAACCTTGGAAGCCATGAATGCAGGGCGTTCGCGCAGGCCCGTCACGCATTGCTCGGCATTCGTGCACAATTCGTCATGCGTCTGCCAGGCTGCAGAATACTTATATGGAATCCCTGCCTTAGACCAGCGTCTCAATTGTAGAGGAGCTGACTACCCAGGAAACAGAGAGCGGCGGTGACCCGACCTCGGGAACGTCTGGATCGTAGCGCCTGCACTGCAATCTCTAGCGTGGAAGACGTCGTCCCAGGCCGCGCGATGTCTTGGCTGCAGAAGGTGGCAACTAGCTGAGCCTGCCCCCAATGTACACAACCAAGGTTCCCTCGCGCAAAGACCCCTCGGGCTCGAGCGCGAAAGACAGATGAGAAGCTGAGCCTGCACTGCAATATCTAGCGTAGGAGAGACCATGTCACCATGTACGAAAACCAAATTGGCTTCCGGAACGTCAAAAGATAGTAGAACATCTTTTGCTATCCTGCTCTTTGCAAAAGCATCCTCCCATGCGCACGTAGCAATTGCGACATGTGTGATATCGTATCCATTGGTTAGGTACCTGGCCTGCTCGGAAACGTTTCCGAAAACTCGTCGGACCTTTCCGAGCGTGACCGTGTACTTCAACATTAGCCTTCCAACCATTCACGGATACTTCTAGCTTGCCGATCAGTCATGATCAGTCTCACGAAGCGCAGTGCGAATTCAGCTCTTGGACGCCGCCTCAATGTGCCTACGACCCGTCGACACATGTACACCACCACCGCGCCACGCGTGGCAGTCCTATACCAAGAACTCGATCTACCACTGATCCAAGGAGTGCGCAAGCCCAAGAAACCTGGAGGTACTTGGTCTTCCTCTATACAGAAACCTTTCCCGCAACATTAACATCTTTACCAAGGCTACATCGACTCCAGCGCAGACATCGCCCACGCACTAACCCACCAACACCACAGCCCCGTCTCCATCATCACACCCGCCTCCGCCCCAAACCCACAAAAAGATGAAGAGTGGTGTTTTGGAGATACAGAGACTGAGATTACGTGGGCACTGGAGAAGGGAGCCACGCATCTCTGGGCTAACACTATACTCTTTGCGAAGCATCCGCTTCAGACGGCAGATAGTCTGACGGGTGTGGCGCAGACGGTAAGGGTTGTGGGACAGCCACCGAAGTTAGTTGAGCTGTGCGATGATAAGGCGTTTGTCAACAACATGCTTCGTGCTCGTGGTGGGTTTACGCTGCCGGAGGCGCGGGATATGATTGATGAGGAAGATCTCGCGGATGTGCTCCAGTCGGATCTTCGCTATCCTGTTGTCGCTAAGCCGGTTAGAGGACGGGGGAGTTATGGTGTGAGAGTTTGTCGCTCCGAAGAGGAACTGATCGACCATTGCGGCGATTTACTGGGAGAGGATGCGTCCGTCATCGTCGAAGACTTTCTTGCGGGTCAGGAAGTCACTGTTACTGTGATGCCGCCTGCGCCTGCAACGGGACGGGATGGGTATTGGGCGATGCCGGTTGTGGAACGGTTTAATCACGCTGATGGTGCGTTGGCCGCGTGGACTTGGAGAAGTGTATGTAATGCTCACTGACTACTTACAGGTATTGCACCATACAATGGCATCGTTGCTGTGCTTCAGAACTCTCGCTGTCTTTCCAAAGGCGAACACATAGCCGATCCACACTATGGTGAGGTACAGCGACAGTGTGTTGAGGTGGCGAAGTTGCTTCAATGTACTGCTCCTATCCGAGTCGACGCTCGTCGGTTCACGGAGGATGTGTCGTCACCGTTCGCTCTATTTGATGTCAATATGAAACCGGTAGGTCAATTGAGACTTGCCGTTGATGACATGGCTGAACTGTGACTAGAACATGACAGGTCCCGGTAGGCCTGGTAGAGAGAACCAAGCCAGCCTGACGGCACTGGCTGCTGCTGGAATGGGATGGGACTATCCGACTCTGCTGTTGAAGATACTCGAGTCGAGCAGTTCGCTGCGTGATCTGAGGAGTGTTACACCGTTGCATGTCAGTGGCAAGTGATTATGGGTAAGAGGCAAAGGCCACGGCCGTACTTTAGCGTACAATATGAGGTCCCAGTAAGTATGTAACATGAATCTTTGTTTCAAGAACTACTGCCTGTATATCGTACGAAATTATATTATTACAATAGTCCGCTCCGTAACATTGGGAAACAAAGTATCGGTCCAGGCCGGAACCACAGATCGAGCATAGCCTGGTGTCGTTCCAAAACCCGTGGATTCATAGAGCACCCAATGGATATGCCCAATACGCCGGTACACTTCACACGAACCGCCTGTGTCTTCATCACCTGTTGATGGTAGTAAGATGACAACTAAAGCGTCGAACAAGACGGCTTCATCTCGATGATATATGCCCATCGGGAGAACAGTGTATTCCTCCATCTCGGTGGAAGGGTTCTGGTCTTCATCCCAGGCCAGATGTCCTCGGCCCTCCACGGAATCGGAATAACCAGGCTTGTCGAGATCCAGAGAATATTTTCCGTTTGTAGGAAGAGACATACTACACAGTAGAGCACGAAGCTTCAAAGCGCCCTTCTTCTTGTTCCCATACTGGCTACTGGCTTCGGCTAGTGACGTTTGCACGCTGATCATCTTCTTTAGCAAAGATTTTGACTGCGCACCCCACTTACGTGTAGGGTACCGAACTCCGCCCGCTGCCGATGCCCAGCTCCAAGATGGCGCAATGGCAAGGCACGACTCTCTTGCTGTAGTGGAACATAGAGTGAGAGAACTCCAGGAGAGGCAGCTGAGGAGTTGCGACCCCCACATGCCAGCGTAATATTCATGTCCAAACCGTTCAGTTGGTACACACCTTGCAATCGATGACAAAGCGATTAAGCGGTCTGTTTGCAATGTGAATTTCGAAAGTGAATAGAGCTCAATGAAAGCTAGCCAATTCCCAAAGACCATCAGGGAAGCGTGGTGCGGTCCTATGTTTGTTCCGCTGCCGACTAGGGTGTAATCGTCATCATCGATCTCATAATCGTCCTTGCGGGTTTCTTGACACTCCCAAAAGACCCCCTCTTCAGTAAAATGTAGTATTCTCCGCGAAAGTAGGCGTTCCTGTGCAACCCAGCCGCGTCTGTTCAGGTTGGAAGCGACGACCGAGGCGTACCACGGCTCGGAGCTCGTGGACATGATCAAAGGTTCTCGCGATCCAGCATTGATGGGAATGCTACAGGGTGGATTGTAGTCACTCCAAACTTTACGCAAAAAGCCGTCGCTGGGTTGCTCCGAGCAAGTAGCAGAGATAGTACAGATCGCGTTCTGGTAAACAAGCCACATGCGCGGCCCCTCTGCATTCCAGTCCGTATAATCCCCATGTGCGCTTGGTTGAACTATGCACAAGGCGTCGATCCAAAGGAAACGTATCCCTAGACCCCGTGCGACGATAATCGCATCTTGGAAGGTTTGTGGCATGCTGGCAAGGAAGGTAATCCGGTCTGTGATGAGCTGCGTTCTCAACATACAAGCTGGTGGACCCTGACCCCAGCGATAGCTCAAGGTGCAGTATCTGGAAAGCTCCTCTATCGTGGCGCGGTTCCCAGCAATCCATTCTTGCGTGTCGAGCGTGAGAATGATATCGCCGTAAGAAAGATCGAGCAGACGACGTGGAAGCGAGGATGCCTGTACTGCTGGATTTACTTCGCATGGCTTACAGAGATGATGATTGTCCTCTTCACCAAGTACGCAAGCTTTAAGAAGCTCACAGGCACGCAAGACCGGGTCGTGAGGGGCCTCCAGGGCAAACGCTTCTTCCATGATATAGCTCGAGCTCGACCCTACACAGAAGTTATGGTAATAGTCACACTCGGGGATTCTCAACCGCAGGTTGCAATACGTGGCGCTGAGAATGAGGCTTCCGTTGCACTCTCGGAGCACAACCGGACTTCGATCAATGAGGCGTTGCATGTTCGCCGCGGAAACCTTCTCTATATCTTTCCGGATGAAGGAGCACAGATCGCATCCGCTGGCAGCAGATTCGATTAATTCAGGTCCAGAGGACCATGAGCGAAGGTCGATGCCATGTGAATACACGCTCGGATATGCGACTTTGCTACACTCGTAGCACCGAGGCATGCTCCTAAAACCTGGCCCTGATCCTACCGGATTCGCAGTCCGAATGAACCGAAAGACCCGATGTTCTGGGAGAGACTACGGTCGAGTCAGAAAGGCTGTAGGACGGCTATACCGCTTTCAGAATCTGAGCATGAGCGTTTGCGTCTGAATCGTAATCGCCGGTTCAAGAAGCGGAGGCTGGCATCGATGAATCAGGAAGTGGCCATACCGACGGCAGCGTAGCAGGTATCGAAAGTGTAGTATAATGAATGTAGATGTACACTCGAAATGAAGAGTGAAGAGACGAGGCTGTGCCTTCCTCACCGGTTTGCGGGGTGCACCACCGAGACGCTGAGGCTGAGCCCGCATCTTCAGGCGCCCCGTCAGATCTGCCGTGTGCTGTGATTCCGAAGCAGTAGCAGTATCGGTGTCAATGACGGCACCGCATCGCTGTGTGTTGACCTGCGGCCTGTCGTCAGCTGTAATGCGTGATGGTGGTGGAGGCAAAGTGAAATTGAGGCGCGGCTTCCCGCTTGTCGCCTGTCCAGCTGCCCCGCCAAGAAACACCTGCGGAAGGCTCGAAAACCGTTTCAAGGTCGTCTCGCAACCTGATACGTAGATGTTCTGATAAAGCTTTCCGCACGTGAGTATTCTGGACACGATTGGACGGTCGGCCATACCCGACTGCACGCCTCGACAGATAGCGAAAGCAGCCTCAACCTTAAGTAGCTACAATATTAATAATGAGCCCGAGCCAGTACAAGACCACAGTCTAACTCAAAAGGCGCACTCTATTCTTTCTGCTGTATGACCAATCATGCGTATGTTATGCTGATGATCATACGAATGAACATTAACTAAGTCCGAGATGGATATCAATGCATACACAGACTGGAAGCGGGTAGATTACAAAGGCATGAAGATATTGTGATCTGTTTCTTTACCACTACTTCACCAAAACTACCTACGCTATGCCATGCTATCCCTCTGTCTGTCTGTCTGTCTGTCCATCCTATCATACACTAGAACTTGGTATTCATGCCCATGACCGAATCAATAAAGACCCCTCCCCCAGCCAAGAAGTCAAATACGCCAGAGAAATGCTCAAACTCCGTCAACCAGAAACGCCCCTGCCCATCTCAGCAGCCACCCGATCTTCATCCTAATAAACCACAGGTTCAGCCGCAACACCCCACCTCTCACGCACACGCATCTTGACAGCGAAGCTCTCAAACTGCCATGTACCACTCCGTTCATCGAGTGTCTGTTGAAACCTTGTGCCAGTGCAGGTACCGATGGCATAGATCCCGTCGTGCGCCTTTCGGTTGTTGCAACCGTAGCAGACCTATCGTCTACGGTAGATATCCGCGTCTCTTTCTCTGTTATCTCTGTTATCGCGCCGTTGGTCTCTGCGGTCTGGACTGCGCGATCGTGTCCGTCCATCTCTTCGTTCCCTAGCGAAACCTCTCGCGTCATTCCGATCGGGTCGATCTCTGTACGCGCGGTTGCGGTCTGAGCGATCATCTGTGTATCCTTCTCTCGAGTTGCCCGAATCGCGAGAGCCACGGCGAGGTCGATCGTCTGGTTCGCGGGAGCGACGGGGGCCTTCTGCGCTGTAGCTGGGTATGTATGTGTCGCCGCCGGCGGTAGCTGGGGGTTGTCTTCGGCGGTCTGCGCCATCGGGGCCGTAGCGGGGGACGGGTGGGAGGGGGTGGCGGCCGTCTGCGGGGGGTGGTGGGAGACCGTTGTGACCTCTGTCTGCGCCGTTGCCCCAGTTCGGTCGGCGGTCACCACCTGGTGGTGGGGGTGGAGGTCGGTGTTCGTAGCGGCGGTCATAGCCTCCTCTTTGGCCTCTGTCCACGCCTGGTGGGCCTCGATCCTGTGGGCCGCCGTATCTTCGGTCGCCGTTTTGCCATGATTGTGGTGGTGGTCCTTGGCCGGTCCATTCGCCGTTGGGCCCGCCGCCGACGGTTCCGCCTTGTGGTGCTGGTGGTAGTGCTTGCTTCTGGCCTCGCGCGTTCCGCCGATCTAGCTCGTGTGAGTCTGCAAAGGTAGGGATGTCTTCCTCGCGCATGGGGAGGGGCTGCTCTCGGAAGTATGGGTGGTCGATAGCGTCGATGGCGTTGATTCGTTTCCGCCAGTCGAGCCTCATGAGGTCTTTGATGAGCGATAGGCCGACGGGCGAGAGTTCGCGGAACCGTTGAGCGATAGTACCGGTGTGGACGGGGAATGCGCGTATGGGTTCGGCGCCAGGGAGATCGCGCCACCCCGGCATGCTGTCGTCGTTTGGCGATCCGACAAGCTCGAAGATGATCTGGGCTTGGTGAATGTCGCTCTGTCCTGCGAGGATGGGCTTGCGCTTGAACATCTCTCCAAACACACAACCCGCACCCCACATGTCGATGGCTGGCGTGTACTTCCTGAGCTGCAGAAGAAGCTCCGGAGGTCGATACCATCTAGTCACAACCAATGTAGTGTATTCGCGCTTCGCTTCGCCGTTGCCCCTGCCTCGTTGTGGTACCGCCTCATCGTAGTGTCGCGCGAGACCGAAATCCGCTATTTGTAGCCGTCCGCGGTTGTTGATGAGAAGATTGGCGGCCTTCATGTCTCGATGTAGGATGTGGTTATCGTGAAGGTATCGCAGGCCCTTGAACAGCTGCAGCATGTAGCACTTGATTTGCGCCTCCTTGAACTGAACTTCGGGGTTGTCGAGGAGACCTGATAGATCGTGGTCGGCATAGGGGGTGACCATGTACAGGATGGCGCGTTTCCTGCCCTCGGTCTTTGGTCGTTCCACGGCCATCTCTTCCAACTTGAGGACGTTGTCGTGCGATAGCATCTTGAGCAGCTTGATCTCTCGCAGCGCCGTAATAGGGAAGCCATCTTTCTCGTTGTGCATCAAGATCTTCTTCAGCGCAAAGATGCTGCCAGTAGCCTTTTGTCGCGCCATGTGGACTTCACCAAAAGTACCCTCTCCGAGTTTCTTCATCATTTCGTATTCGCCGATCTTGCTGCATCCTTTGAAGCGTCGCTGCAGGGTCTGCGATGGCGTCGCGCCTGCCGAGTTCGCCATGCCGGCGGTGGTGGTGGCTTGGGTTCGCGATGGAAAGTTCGCGGCGACGCTTTGTACCGGCTGCTAGTGGTCCTCGGCGCAGATGTCCGCAGGAGAGTCGGGCTATTTCTCGATTCCGGTGGCGTGATGTAGCGAGGTTTACGTGGTCGCGGTGGCATGCGCTGCCATGGATGGGAGTTAGGAGGCAGAAGCTATTGTGTGTGCATGATAATAGGCGAAGACATTGTCGTAGGTGAAGGAGCAAAGAACGCGATCCACGGTTGATGGCACTGGCTTGGCGCCGCACGCTAGCGTAGCCTCCGATTGACCTTAACCACACCTCCATCACGAAGACGTCAACAGGCCATTGCACCCCATAGCAACCAGGTACGATACCTTACTACCCTCGGAAGACGTCTCACGATACTGATACTTTGTCAGGCTCACAAACATCATGCAACCCACACGAGCCCGAATGGGCCCGCCCAAATATGCGCCGCACCCGAACCACCCCATCCACATCCACCCAGTCCGACCGCTATACCGATTCATGGCTACTGGCCTCGGCGCATCCATGTGGTTCTTCGTACGTGAAGCGACCAGGTTGAAGGTGGCATAGCGCTAACAATGGCAGTTAATGTACCGCGCGAAGAAGGACGGACCCGCGCTTCTCGGCTGGAAGCACCCTTGGGATCACTGAGCATTTGATGAGCACCCAGAGGGGTGTGGATTACATGACAAGCAATGGGGTCGATATCGGGCACGGCGATTGTACATACTACGGATGATGCAGGACGCAAACACCTAGACGGAGGGCTGTGATATCTCGCGCAGAGAGCGCCAAGAAATTCGAACTCCAAGAAGATCATGCCAATCGTACCACTGTCATGAATAAGTGCTTATACTGGTGACCCTGAGATGAGCATATGCAGACGGTTCAGCAAAACATTGTAACATCTACTTCGGCTGCAGCTCACGTTGCGCCGGTGCCCAGCAGTTTTGCACTTTCACTACCACGAAGACCTACCACAATAGCTACAACAGCACCCTACCCGCAACGCGCTTTGCTGGCAGTCTTGGCGGGTCGAACAATGCTATATCCTGCGCCGCCTCTGACGCTGTAAACTACCATCGCCCCTCTGCTACCCAGCTCAACACCACTGGCAAAGACGCACTTCTCGCACCTACGTTCCCTGAACCATCAGCGCTTCTATCGGTTGATCTATACCATCACACACTTTCATTCGCTGTGAACTTCACAGTTTCTGCTAGACAAATCGCTCCCTACTGGTTCTGCTTTGCCACTCCTTATCACACACGCATATACAGTCTACTATTGTCACCTCCGAGCACAGCCTAGTCGACCGCAGTCTTGTAAGGGCGTTGTCGTTAACTCAATGGGTCAAGGTCTAACATCACAAAGGCCATGGACACTGCTACCATGTTCGCTAGCGGCGCATCGTATGGCTCGTCTATGGTTGGTATCGTGTCCTGATCGCTAGACTCGTGATTAACATCTCATAGCCTGCACAACCCCCAGCGAGCCATGATCTTGCGCACTTCAAAGCAGCGCTCAGCGGCTTCGCCGACCTCGCCATCGATAAGAACATTGAGCGCACCACTGTCATATACGTCGTCGGCTCTACTCTGCCCAAGCGAGTCCGCAAGCTGGGCGTCAAAGACATCGGTTCATCCCTGAACAGCATCTTCCGCAGGGAGAGGATTTCCCACAACGACAACGAGGCTTTGGACTCGCTCGAGGGCATACTAAGCAAAGCCATCGACTACCACATCACCGCCACGGGCATCGCGATCACCGACGATCGGTATAAGGAGTTAACCGCTGCTATCAAGTCCGAGCTTGAACATATATCAGACAAGCAGGACTTTTTCGCTCTAATTAGCCGTTTCGTCTCCAAGGTCAGTGATTGCTCGGGGGTGCCTGTGCCTGCAGCCATCCTCGCTGCCAAGCGGAATGTGACTTCGAGCTCGGTCGCTGGGCACATGCCGACCACCACACTTCCGATGAAAACTGGCTCCAATTGGAATGTCAGCCATAAGGGCAATGCAACCACTGCAGCTGAATCGGACGACATGGACTACGACTTCGATGGTGCTCCAGATGTCCAGACCGATCACGCTCCAGGATCCTCAAACTCTCCTTTCCTTGGCGCTGTCTTCACATTCCAGTCTGGTAATGCATTTCAGGAGTCGACTACACTTGCGCACATGAAGTTAGCGCCAAGGCAAGGGGATCACGGCTACCTCGACGGAATTTCTTACGAGCTCCGCCAACAAGCACTGCAGTTCTTCCATGACGAAGTGGAAAGAATGCACTGCAAATTGAGCCCTTTTCAGGGCATGCTGCTCGATCAGAATGGGCTTTACGAGCTGATGCATAGTCTGGATGCCAAGGTCCTCCATGACATACACATGGAAGTATCATCTCGTTCTAACCCGCCGTCAGACACGTGGCTTGATGAGAAATACAAAGACGGTGTACAGATGGAGCTCATCGCTCTGGGCGAAGCAAGCAACTTCCTAGCAAGAGTGAAAGAGGTCTTGTACTCCAGAGACGTCGAGATGGCCGACGTATCTGCTCACGATAGCTGGGCCGATCCGACGCTCAACCAAGAAGAATTCGACGCGCTCAACCCACTGAAAGCCCCACCTTCGCTTCAAGCATTGTCTGTCGACAAGCGCCGACACTTTCTGTGTCGTATGCTACGCAAAGCAAAGCGCATGAACGACAAAGCAAGATCAGCTCAGAAAGAGCGGTTACAACCCTCAGAAATGATGGACATGGTGCATCAAGACGAACTCGCAGTCCTTCACCGCATCGACTCCGCAATGCAGGGCTCAATCTTCAAGCGAGATGACGCGGCAATCGAAAGAGCGTACGATAGCCAGTCTGAGTCTGAACTCCGTGATTGCGGCAAACTGAACTCTTTCGTAAACAAAGTGAAGGGCTACCATCGGCGTCTGAGGAACTTCATCTCGTCGGCGAAGGGCCATGTCGTTGACGCCTTCGGGTTGCGTGGCGATAGCGGTGCTGCTCATACTGCTGAAGTACAGCACTCTCCTCTCCCTCCTCCACCTCCACCAGTGCAAGACATCAAGGGCTCATTCATCTCCGCCCTTACGAACGCTATCAACGCCATGAGCTCCAGCCTGGGCGCCACACACAACCTTGACCAGCTCCTTCTCCAGCCAGCTGAGGTGGCCGATCTGGTATTTAGATTGGAAGTCCGCATGCGGAGCGACCTTGAACAAAAGTACACCGGCACGTCTTTGACGTATCAGGAGCAAGAGACTCGATATGTTCAAGCTGCGAACCACTTTCTACAGTGGATACAGAATACCCACTGCTTTCGTGAGACGGTCAAAGAGTATCGTCAGTTGACATCTTGAGGGCATGTCCGGTGACGGCGTGATTACGATGCAAAACCCGCCGATCTAGTGTTATGCAACTGGGATATGTTATAACTCTGGTCTGAAAGTAAGCAATGCTCTGGCTCAATATTGTGCATAGAGGCGGAGCAGCTTACGACTATCGCTGTGTAAGCGGTGCGGAGAATGTGTTCGGATGTTCAAACAGCGAGTGGGATTGATGATCCAAGACCAAAGTGGCTTGGGTCGTTGATAACGATGCTACTTTCATCGCATTCAGGTTAGTTTGTAAGTCACCACTGTTCAACCTCACATCGCATTGGATTGACATTTGGCAGGAACAAACATTCGGGCTACTAGTGCTCGCGTTTCGTGACTACCAGGTGTCGATGAAGCTTTGGTTTGCTTCTATCATTCCTTCCTTCGTATATATCATGACCATCCCGTCACCTCACACCTTCAATCCCTCCATACCCTTCTCAATATCCCTCTCCATCTTCCCCATCTCCACCATCATCTTCGCCCTTCCCGCAAACTCCTCCAAACCCTTCGGCGTACAATTAGGCCCAACCTTTGCCACAGCCTTGAGGTACTCCATTTTCTGCTCCCTCATATCCTCATTATCCCAATTATTGCCCTGCATCTTAGCGTTAACCATATCCGCCGCCTCGTGCTCCATCTTCCTCGCCAGAGTGAGCAGTTGCGGTAGAGAAAGCTCAGGGAAGTCATCCCAGAAGGGAGCCACACCCGCATCCATACATGCGGCTAGTAGCTTCACTTCCATGCCACGAGCTAGCTTGGGGATCTTGACGTTGAGATCCATGAGGGTTCGGAAGAAATCGGTGATTGTCTCGGCGCGGGTTTGGTCCATGTTGAGCCAATTCGATGGGATGTGAAGGTTTTGTGAGTTTGAGTCTGGAGGCAAACTCTTTACTTGTTTTTCTTCTGAGGTGAAGAAGAGAAGGGGTGAATTGGCGGAGTGGTTATTGGAATTGGGTTTGTTGACCTTGTGAACGATGGTACTTTGTTGCTGTGGAATGACTACAGGTATATACATTGTTCAGTCTCTATGCTGTGGTGAGTTAGTCGTGGTTATTGGCGCAGCTCGCTCCACCATTGTGAAAACATGGGAATATATCCGAATGAAAGCTGTTAACTGTGTGGTTTCAAAATTGGACAGTGAAAGCTAAGTGGAGGCCAGGGACATCGCACTCATTGTTGAGATCTTGATTAGACGACTTCTAGGAGCGTTCTTCGAACATGCATCGTATGAGCTTTTGATAATGCCTTGGGGTATACACTACTATGAGAGCAATTACACACGACCAACTTGAGTATCGGAAAGGACATCTTCCAGAGCAATTGCGGATATGTCGCGACTGTTAAGGGTAACAGCATGAAGATGAGCTCCTCCGTCCCACCATCTTCCATACGACTCATCGCCCTCCCTCCTCTACATAACCCCACCCGCCCCACCCCCCTCCTTAGCACACCTCCCCGTCCACTCCCTCGCCCTCTTCTCAAACACCCCCCTCTCATTCGCAAACTCATTCGCAATCCCTACCTCCACCGCACTCTCCAACTCCGGATGATCCAACAACGTCCTCAAACCTATCAACACCTTCTCCATTGTATTGTTGTGATGCCACTCCTCGCCCAGCATCTTCCAACTCACAACCCCGGTTCTTCCGTCCACGTTAGGATGGTAGATCTTGGTCGTGAAGTTGAGTTTGGGTGGTGCCTCTGGGTATTCGTCTGTGAATTGGATGTGGAAGGCGAAGGTACCGCCCTCGTAAGGGGAGGCGGAGAGGCCGTGAAGGGTGCCTGTCCATTCGAAGATGTCGCCGTGTTTTAGTTCGACGTGGTAGCCGGCTGCGGGGGTCTTGCGTAGGCTTTGGTATTCTTTTTCGAGGCGCTTTTTGGTTGGCGTCATGGTTGTTGAGTATTGTCAGTCGCAGGGCTTTCAAGAATACAGATTGGATTAATAGGCAACGAAAACAATGCGAACTGTTATCGCGCGGTTGAGAAAGGAAGATGTTGAGGATGGTCGCTTGGGTTGGCCTACGTCATAGCGCGACTGCTGTGGTGCGCGTTGGTCCGACGCGACTCCCTAGTCCTTTCTATTGACGCGCCTCACATGTTGCACTATTGGAACGCATGTTCATTGCACTAAGCTGTATCGAATCTCGTTGCAATGCCGCAAGTCATATTTTCTCATAGCGGTATGCGCGAACGCCTGCGCTTAGCAGACTGTCATACGGCTTCCCTTCTTCTATTATTCTGCATAGCCTCGTCGATCGTCTGGAGATATATTTTCACAAACCGTTCTTGGTAGTTCTGCGCACCACGCGCTCTAAGTCCCGCCATCTCGAACATGCACGTTCTCAATCTCTTCAACCCCGTCGCGCGTCGAGACGTTGCCAAACTCTACTCTTGCATCGAAGCCGAGAGCTCCGCCATTCACTTGCTGTATGGATTCCTTTTCGCTATGACCAGCAGCGTAAAAATTAATCCATAGTTCTCAATTCATCGCCGTTCTACCCTCCCGCCTGGGTAACAGCTCTGTCTTAGAGTTTGCAGCGCTGGCGCTATCCCCGTAGCGTGCCGCGCATCCGAAGAAGAGACTCTGTACCTTACACCTCCATCGGGTCGAGAAACGTCGCAGCCTTGGCTGCGAACTCCCTCAGACCCATGGCGTCGGTTCCCGGACGATACCTCGCTGTCAGTCGAATGTACGCGTTTTCGTGTGAAACCTCGGCTTTCCCACTCCGCACGTCTAATAGCAGGCGGCGAAAAGCATCATCTTCGATTTGCTTCGCTAGCCTGAAGAGCTCCTGAGTATCAAGCGGTAGGTAGTCTTTCCAGAATGGCGCTGTTCCCATGGCTTGATAGACTTCGATAAGCGCATGCTGAAGGGCTTCGTCGTGCTTGAGGTGGGATACCAAGGTGTTAGCCTCCACCAGCTTGTCGTAAAACTCGACGAGTGTGCCGCTGCGAAGATCCTTGGCGAGCTTGATATCATATGGCTTGGCCGACGTGGGCTCTTTGAGGAGGGCCAAATCAGCGTCCATAAGCATGTCGCTATACGCCACGAGCGTACCAGGTGCCATCGAGGAGGGGATTTGTATACCAGCGCTTGGGAAGGAGAATGGGCTGTTACTTGTCGCCGGCTGATTCACGCCCTGGTCCAAACTAGTCACCGGTGCGTTGCCGCCATGGTCAGCGCTCATTGACCTCGACGCCGATCGATAGCGGTATCCAGCACGGCCACGAGGAATGGCGACGAAAGCTTCTACCTGCTGAGGAGACTGCGACCGGGTGACTCGTCTACTCTGCCTCAGGATATCACGCACGGACCGCTGATATCTGTGGATCAGCGTGGAGAAGTTGCTGCTATACTTGAAGCTGCTCCACATCTCCTGCCGAACAGTCGAGTACTCATTGAGTATGAGCGATGGGACCGAAGCCAATTGCCTCCTTATGACCCTTCGATCTATGCCTCGAAGAATGTCGAATTCTGCGTAGCGCGCCATATCGATCAGCTGGCTCTCAGGGAGGCGGGTCCGGGATGAAGTTTGGGCTGGGTTCCTCGACTTGAGAGCGCAGTACAAGCCGACTAAAGTCTTAAAGCGAAAGTCTTCATTGATGCAGAGAAGACGTGTCGATTGCTGACGTAGCGGCCGAAGTTCCCTCAACTCCTCATCCGACAGTGCGTCTTCTTCAGCTTGAGCAGCGGCCTGGGCGGAGACCGTCTCTTCGTTAAGCGTAGACACGCTTGGTTCTACTGGCTTTGATGACAGCGTAGCCGTGGTCGAGGCGGTATCGGTAGCTGTTCCATGGATTGGCACTTCGCTGACGGATGCAGTGTCGGTAGGCTGCTGGGAAAGCTGCATTGGTTACTAATGAACGAGTCAGAAAGACTACTGAGCCTGACTAACCGATACGTCTTGCTTTTCGAATACGGAGGCTGCAGGCGCCACATGCACATCTTCCACATCTCTTTGAGGTGTGACAAAATAGATCTGGTCAGCAAGGGCCCTACAGGCTAGAGGGACGGAGCTCTACGTCGGTCTGCGTCTCAGATGGAACATTTGTTGCAGAATCTTCACTGACTCTGAGACCACACGTAGGGACCGTTGGAGTTTCGCGATCTGGTGCAGCATGATGCGCGGGTGCGCGGCCTTGCAGTAGTTGCATGAGCAAGGACTTTATCTCCTGTTGCTCAGTCTTGAGCTGGTCGATGCTCGCTTTGACCGCGTCAAGGTCAGCCTTGGTAGCAAGTCCTACGGTTCCATGGGTGACCGTATCGCCGACCTTCTGTAGAGGCACGGAAGCAGTCATAGTTGGGCGGTCGTGTGAAGAAGACATTGTGAAGCTCTTTGATGTCTTGTGGTGGTGCGAGTGGGTGGTCGTGAGATCGGAGTGAAAGATCGTGCTGAGCGCGCTCCGCTGTTGAAGACTTTGAGAAGAAGGTTGAAAGCTACAGAAGTCTGGTTACAAGAGTTGAGCTCGTTGGTGGGTGTTAAGGTCTTTCATCGGGCGGCTGGCCTGCGTTTATATACTCCTAGGGAGCCGCTGAGCCCACCATGTGATGACTCCCTTCGCTCGGTGAATGACCGTGGCGCTGCTAATTGTCGTGGTCCGTGGAGACGCAGCCATGACATCTGTCGCAGATGAAGTGAATGGTATATAGCCGGAAGGTCGAGAACGTGTCGATGTCGAATGCCTGTATGAAGAAAATGTCGCGCTGTTTTCTCATCGCATGGACGTATATCATGCGAAAAGATGATGAAAGTAGAGTTACTATGATGAATTCGAATTGCCATATCGTTGCCTATTCATAGAGCATAGCGAAGCTTGCGAGCTTCAAAGTGTGGCAGTATTAATTTGGATAGTTGTAAGATTGAGGAGTTCTAGTCACATGTTTTCTATGATGGCAATATGAACAAGCCGCGAGCACAAGCCTTTGTGACTTGTCATTGTCCATCCCGGCCAAACCTCGCATCCCTCATCCAAAAAGTAATGGCCTACTACTTCCTGATCATCAGCTCAGCCCATAAAGGTGCGTTGACTCCCGAATGCTCAGGAACACCGAACCAGCTTCCCCCATCTACCTTCACCACTTCGCACTTCTCCCTGTACTCACTCTCCACCGCTGACCCTCGGACGTACCGCAGACGCAGAGGTCCCTCTTGCCACTTTCCATTCCACTTCTCTTCGACGTTCTCAATTCCAGGAAGAACTAATGCCTGCAGATCCAGCTGGTCCAGCAATGTGTATAGCTGGCTCGAGGATAACAGCTTTAGAGTTGAGATAGATGATGAATGAGTGCTCGTTTACGAGATCGAAGCCCTGCGCGACGGTCGAGTTAGCGAAGTTGATGAGTGGCTCATGATCTGTCAGTAGAGTCTTGCAAGCCGGTGTGTACCGTACGTCTTGAACAAAGAGGGTGACAATGTTTCCCTGTATCTGCGCTAGAGTTCGGGCAACATCCATAGCTGCGAGATGTTGGATGAAACCCCGTTCATACGTCGGTCCAGAAAAGAGAGGTCCGAGACCGAAGCAAATGACGCGAGTCACTGGCTTGATGTTGTGCGCGTTCTGGCGCAGGGTGTGAAGAAGATCGACACGAACGGCGCTTCCTTCCCACTTGTTAGTCCTGCTTTCAAGAAAGGGGGCGCATGAAATTCAGCGCGTTGTCGAGAGGAATAGTTTGGACCGCGCTACCCCAGTGAATGTCGAAAAAGAATGGACAGCTTCGTTGCATCTCTTTCATTGCCCGGAACTGCAGTGGGCGGAGATGTGGTAGATCCGCACGTCCCTCTGGCATCGCGACAGGATCTTGACAGGCGAGGTCCATGGTGGTATGGGCATTGATCTGTAGAAGGTCTCCGGATCTGAGCTCGAGCTCTGCTGTCGTGCCGTTCTGCTCGAGAGTAAGGATTCCCCTACCGACGTACGAGACTAATGTGAAAGAGATCTTGATGCCATACAAGTCAGTAAGATGTGCTGAACTGTTTAGGCGAAGAGAAGAGTACTGTTGGCGAACTTCAATCAGTCGCTGTGGTGTATAAATTGGCCTTCCAGCCCCTCCACTGGTCGCGTAGACCCGCGCGAAGTCGAAAGGTTGGCGGTAGGGAAATCCGGGAGAAGCTATTTCTGTCTTCCAATGTTAGCGATGGAGGGGAAAGTGTAGGTAACAAGCAGCGATGCAGCAAAAGAGCTATTTATATTAGTGGTGATCAACAACCTACTCTCGCGAGGCTCCTTCACGTCGAGTAAGGTCAACATTCGGTGTTGCTATTGTGTACAATAGCTTTGCGACAATACCTACCGATCGGGTTGCACGACGTACTCACGGTCACAGCCAGTTGTGCACAGACCAGACCACGCTAGGCGCCTTTGTAGAAGTGCGCGTTGTCGGCGCCAGTTTACGGAAGGCTCCGCTGGGCTCAGACTTAGGTAACTACAGTTCTTAGCGCTTGCGAGACGTGCTTTCTGCTGCATACAGGAGATCGTGTATGTATAATCGAGGCAACGTTGAATCGGTAGATTAGGAAAGAGACTGGGAGGCAACGCCCGAAGACACTGTCGTACGACCAATTTCATATTCGCTTTCCGAAAGCCGCAGCATCGCCAACCCTATAGCCAAATTTTAGCAAGTCCTGCTCTTCAATCTGGGCTTTCTTCTCCAGTAACTCGTCAACATCCCACGTCGCACCCAGTAATCGGCCATTCAACCACATCCTCTTCTCAATGCTTAACCACACGCAAAACGCGCCACCAAGACCAACATCATCTGTGAGATCTACAAAGTCAGCAAAAGAATACCACAATCACGCAGCGATGCACTCACAAGAACGGAAGCTGTCAGGCGTAGTCTTATCCGCCATCTCAGTATTCACAGCCCCAGGATGCACAGCAACCGCTAGTATACCATCCGCACCATACTGTTCCGACAAGAATTCGACAAGACGTGCCTGCGCAAGTTTCGAGATGCAATACGCTGTATTCGCAATGTGGCCGTTGGTGATGCATGCTGCAAAGGAATTGATGGCGATAAACGTCTTCGCGCCATCACTCTTCTTTAGCAGCGGAACAAAATGATGCGCAACAAGATATGTGCCTTGTACATTTACGTCGAATACATCTTGGAAATCTTGCGGATTGCCTTGGTCGACTTTCAACACTACCGGTCCTGAGTACCCCGAATTGACGATCACAACGTCCAGCCTTTCCACTTTTTCTTTCACGTTCCTCGCAAGTTGCGCAACGCTTTCGTTGGATGTTATGTCGAAATCCAGGCTCTTAATGGTTGTCGAAGAGTTGAGGGTTTGAGCTTGTTTGGCGACTGCTGCTAGCTCTTGGGCTGAAGATGACCTTGCTGCTAGGATAAGACACGCGGCACCCGCTTGTGCATATGCGTATGCGATTCCGGCTCCGATGCCGCGAGATGCGCCGATTATGAGGACGTTGAGCGGCTTTGGTAACTTCTTGGAGGCTGGGTCTAAGGCGGGGGTTGGTTTCTTATGTATAGTCTTTGTGAAGCCGCTGGCGAGCGTAGTATCTCTTATTCGTTGCGACATGGTTTTATTCTGAGCGGATCAAGGAGAAGATATTGTGGAAATGTAGTGCGACTCGTTCTCGATATAAAGGTACGCCTTATCTGGCCCAAAGAGGCTTGGTCGAAATGAGTCATTCTGAGCATACACGATACATGCTAGCCTCTGTCTATCTCTGTCGTTGCTCGCGGTCACATTTTGCATCAAGATGATGAAGTAGTGAACAGCAAATTCGTGTCACATGAGGTGGAATCTGGGTACGGTCGTAGATCTGGCAGCGACCCCGCAGGCGTCGCATCTTACTCAGCACAGAGAGCTTTCCAAAGCTTGACCACGCCTAAGCAACGCGCACTTTTACCCTAAGAACATAATACTGTCAGCAGTCCAGCCTCCAGGATCACTAACAACGCTGGTGATGCGTTTGAGAGCGGAGATGGGTATATGACGCGAGGTCATAACATGCTTAGCGCGACGGGCATGTGGGTCCAGCACCTGACGCGTCAAAAACCATGACGAACATTCCTCTTTCGAGCAGACCTGGACACCAACACTCCATCTCACCACTCTGCAAGCTCCGGCAACATCATGTACCAGAATGTGCTGCGGCAGTAATCATCGACTTATAAGCCCAAGTACGCCCTTTGGACGGCATCGGGACAGGAGACATCCGTAAGCACCGTTCCGATGCAGCTAGGCAAGCGGTGTAGTAAGATACGCGAGCCAGACCTTTGACGACATTATGATTGGAAATGTGTTTCTAGGAGCCGCGAAATATAAAAACGAAGCTGCAAGCTGCATCGGTAAGATCACTTCTCGCATACCAGGCATCGACTGCATCACACCCTGAGTATTTCAACATGACACGCACCCTTATCATCTTCGGCGCCGGACCGGGAATTGGCAACCACGTTGCTGCTGAGTTTGCGTCCAAAGGCATTGATCATGTCATCCTTCTGTCGCGCAACACGGAACGTCTCGAGAAGGAAGATGCGCCTTTTGTCAGCAAAAGTAGCTCCTCTGTCAAAGTCGACACTCTGCGCATCGATCTCGCAGACACAAAATCCATCCCAGATGTACTCAAACAGCTAGACAGCATGACCGCCGGCGAAGACGTAGAAGTCGTCTTCTTCAACGCTGCTCGCGTAAAGCCGAACGATGTTCTAGGCGTCAGCGTGGAGGAGATTGAGGAAGACTTTAAGGTAACAACTCCCTCTTCGACAACATTATATGGGAATAGACGCTAACAGCGATATGCAGACCACGAACCTCGCCCTCTACGTCATAGCACAGCACTACATACCCAGACTCCAGAGCCTGGCCAAGTCAAACTCGTCGCTTAAGCCCGCTCTTCTCGTTACAAACAGCCATCTGCCGTGGGATCCTGTGCCGCAACTCCTCTCGCTGAGTCTGGTGAAGGCTTCGCAGAAGAATATGGTGGAGAGCTTTAATCGTGCGTTCAGTGATAGTGGTGTGCACATTGGGCTGGTTTATGTCGAGGGAGTAGTAGCGCCAGAGAATAAGGTGCTGAACCCCAAGACGATTGCAGAGAGAACTGTGAAGTTCTGGGAAGATGGAGAGGGAGCTGGCGCTCACATCAAGGAAGAGTAATGGTAGCATGAAAAGCTAGCTTGATTAAAGAAATACTGCCATGCCCACTCAGGCGACTTGCGAATTCTTCTTCAATCCCTCACTCCATCACCATCGCATCCTCGTCACGCTCTCTTTCCTCCACCCACCCCTACAACTCTTCCGGAAACATCCGCACCAACACCGCAGTCTCTTCCATGAACCTGTTCTTCCGTCAGTCTCTCCGTCCTCCATCAACTCAAACCACCAAGTTTCCCAACTAACCTCCGTCTATGTCTATGTTCCTTTGGAAAAAGCGCACAATCGTGCAGACAACTCCTCCTACAGACATCAGCACCAAAGCCTCCAGCATACGCGAACCGTCAAGAAAGGAAGGGGGGGAAAAGAACGCACAAATGATACAGCATAATCCTCGCCTCAAAGTCGTCTTCCGGGTAGGTAGCAGGTACATATCGGAGATACCCGTCCCGCTGTTCCTTGCTAAGAGTCCTGAGATCACCTGTAATTCGAACATCAGCATCTTCCCCTAGTATACCGCCCTGTACCGGACATCTCACATTCGCCATGCCCCCAAAAACATCCCGGATCAAACACCACCACCTCCCCTTCCTCCCCCACGCCTACATTCCCCTCCCACACATCTCCATGACACAGTGACGGACTGATCTTCCTTCCGTCCATCTCCATAGGACGTAAAAGCCTCGGCAGGACTTTGTCGAACGAAGCGTCGAGTAGGGATTCTGCTTCGACCGAGCGCTTGCCGCCTTCTTTCTCGTCGTAATACAGCATCCTTCTCATGTTGCGCGTGAAGTATTCTTCCCAGGTAGTCGTCCACGTATTATCCTGTGCGAGTTTGCCGTTGTGCGTCGTGGTGTGGTACCCGAAGAACCTTCCTTGCGGCCGACCGCAGTAATTGAGAACGTCGCATTTTTCCGCGCTTTTGGCGTGGAAGAGGGCGAGTTGATGGGCTAGGAGTTGCATGTCGGAAGGGGTTGGCGGGCGCATGGCTACGAAGTCTGAGACGTAGTAATAGTGCGCTTTCTCTTCTCTCGTGTTCTGGTCCCCGTATTTGTACTCGTCGTCGAGAGCTTCTTCTTGTGCTTCTGAGAAAGGGCCCTGGGCAACCCATCTAGTACAGAATCGCGGTGACACATTTTGCATATCAGCGGCGGATCGAAACTCTCCCTCCAACATACTCTTCCCATTCCCGCCCTGCGCTATCTTGACGAAGTAACTCTTTCCCGGTCTTTCTGTGTCTTCTTCACCTTCAAATCTTTCCTCATCTTTCTCATCTGGATTTCCACCACCCTCATGCCGAGCCTCAGCATCGTCATCCCCGGCGCCATTGCTACTGTGTCGAGGGGATGTAGAAACAGTGTCGATGCGGAAACAAGTTGTCCAGTGACTAGTTCCGTGGGGAGTAATGTCGGTGACTCGTGTGTTCAGAGGAAGGACTGGACGCCCGGATTGATATTAAGTAAATGTGCTACGACTGCTGTTGGAACTATCGCTGGGCTAGAAAGCTAGGTAAAGACTGTGGTGACGAAAACGACTAACGTACAGCCGAGGAGTGTCGTGGAGTTAGCTAGGAGGGTTTCTAGCTTACATCGTTTGGATGCAGTTATCCCAAGGGATGTGGTCATCTTGGCGGGAGGGGAAAATAGCACAGCGACACTGGTCGGTCACTAGTAGAAAAAGCACACCTAGGTAT